CTATGATTGCTTGTGCAAGCCAAGTATTCTGAAATATGAGCAAAGGGTTTTTGGCATCTTTGCTTAAATCGCTGTTTTGTTGTCGTCCAAAACATCAGAGCAAACCCTCTTTGTCTGGTTTGACGTTGAGATTCTTCATAGTCTGGAGCATAGACGTGGTTACTGTTGATGACTGATGCTGTCTGACCAGTACTTTTCCAGCTATAGTAATCTCTTCGCCAGAGATGTTCGGATCCAGGTTAGCCTCCGTGGTACTTAGAAGTGTGGAGAGTTTGATACGGTGTTGTCTACGAATGTTCACCTTGGCAACTGAGGTTTGAATGAAGCGTATAATTACTGCTACGATTCTTTTAACATTTGTCAGGGAGTGTTTTCCCAATGGGGTAAAGATATCGTTTCCGTTCTGCTTGTCTGAGTGATTGTGCCTTGAGGAAACAGTCTCTGTTCTTCGTGAGGAAATTCCTGGGATATCGTGCCTATTGGATTATTGTGAAGTTTTAGATCCTTTTCCAAAGAACCTTCGTTATGCTTAAAGGTGTTGCAAATGTTTTCCCAATTGTCTGGTGGTTCTTGCAGAAAGGGTGGTCCGACCCACCAGAAGTGGTCGACCTTCTGGCTAAGACCACGGGTTGCACAGTCCGCTGCGTTATAACGTGATGGGACGTGACCGAAAAGTATGCGATAACCGTTCATTTGTATGTGGTCGATGAGCCTCTCGATCCCCAGTAGTCTGTTGAATATTCTGAGTCTAACGTTCTTTAGTTGTTTGCGCTTTATCCAGCTAAGTACGATCTTCGAGTCCGAAAGGATGAAAATTTCTTGGATTTCTAAGGTTTTTCGGAGTTGAGTCAGCACAGCGTTGGTTAATCGCATAGCTATGGTTGCCGCATCCAGCTCCATTTTTGGAACTGTTGATGTAGATTTTAAGGACTGCAGTTTGCTTTTTGCCATGAGAAGATTAGTTGAATTTTCGGAGCGTAGATAAATGCAGGTGGCCAGAGCTTCGACGCTGGCGTCGGCGAAGGTTACTAGAATGTATTTTGTATTTTTTGTTCCAAGACAACGTGGTAGAGGCTTCGTGAAACCTTGCATTTCCGTGCATATGGCTAACCATTCGTTCTTGCGGGCATCTGGTAGAATATGGTCCCAGTTGTACTCGTCTTTCCATAGGCTGCGTAGGAATACCTTTGCTTTATGGAGTAAAGGTGTTAGAAAGCCCACGGGGTCGTATACCGAAGCTAATGTGCTAGCCACCGTTCGCTTGGTGATACGTTGATTTGCTTTTGTCATGCATGTTATCAGCAAACAGTCGGAGTCAGTGTTCCATGGTATTCCCAGTACTTTCGGTAATTGGGTGTCCGCTTTATCATCGGAGGGTATTTTTGCCATTAGGTCAATATTATTGGAAGCGAATTCGCGTAAATTCATGCTGAGGTCATTGAATATTTGTTTTGTGCGTAGGTAGCTCTGAAATGCTTCTTCGGGGTCATCGAGGGTTACGACAAGGTTGTCCACGTATAAGTTGTCTTTAACTTGCGTTACTAATTCTGCTTCTTCTTTATATTGATCGAGATGAAAATGTATTGTTCCAGCCAAAAGAAATGGTGATGTATTTAATCCGAAAATNTCGTATACCGAAGCTAATGTGCTAGCCACCGTTCGCTTGGTGATACGTTGATTTGCTTTTGTCATGCATGTTATCAGCAAACAGTCGGAGTCAGTGTTCCATGGTATTCCCAGTACTTTCGGTAATTGGCTGTCCGCTTTATCATCGGAGGGTATTTTTGCCATTAGGTCAATATTATTGGAAGCGAATTCGCGTAAATTCATGCTGAGGTCATTGAATATTTGTTTTGTGCGTAGGTAGCTCTGAAATGCTTCTTCGGGGTCATCGAGGGTTACGACAAGGTTGTCCACGTATAAGTTGTCTTTAACTTGCGTTACTAATTCTGCTTCTTCTTTATATTGATCGAGATGAAAATGTATTGTTCCGGCCAAAAGAAATGGTGATGTATTTAATCCGAAATTAACTCTAGTGAATCGTAAGGTTTTAATGTTGTTCGGAAATGGTAGTAGCCTGTAATCATGTAGCCAAAGGCATCGTGTGGCATCGCGATCATCCTCATGGAGTCAGACTTGAAGAAAGGCCTTCTCAACGTCTGATGTAATCGCGATTCGTCCTATTCTGAAGCGAAGGAGGATTCCAAACAATTGTGAGAGGATTACTGGTCCTCTGTGTAATACGTCGTTGAGTGATGGGCATCCCTTGTAGTGTGCTGATGCATCAAAAACTATTCTGATCTTAGTGGTATTTTTATTGGGAGTTAAGACTGCTTGGTGAGGAATGTAATGGACTCGGGTGTTTTGTGGCGTTTCCTGTTCGTTGATTTCTTCTAGGATGTGCAGGCTGAGCTGTTCTTCGAATATGCCATCGTACCTGTCGAGCAGATCTTTGTTGTTTTGTAGGGATTTCCAAACACTTATGAGTCTATTGAGTGCAATTGTTCTATTATCAGGTAGTGATAGCTGTATGTCTTTCCAAGGTAGACAAACGTATTATCCGTCTAATCTTTTTTCAATGGTTTTGTTGAAGGTTTCCCATACGTGCTGATCTGTCAGTGCTTTTTCCATTTTTGCGGAGTTTGTGAATTCTTCTGTTCCGGCAGATTCGAGGGTCCAAAATTGTTCCCATTTGACTGCTTCGTTCTCATCCGTCTCTGAATCTTCAGTAAGGCAAGCATGGACTTGACATTCTAGCGTCCGATGCTGATTGCACTTATTCATTTCCTCTTCATCGACTTGCACGTATAGTGCCCAGTATTGATCCCATTTGTCTAGTTCATCCTTGAAATCCTGTATGGGCAATGTGTTTCCTTCTTCGCTGTGTTGTACTTGTAATAACACGTTATCATTTTCTTTTTGTGGCGCAGGAGGATTTTTTAGTTGTCCTGTACATAAATGACCTAGACGCGTTGGGATAAGATGTAACCCGGATGGTAGTTCAATGTGCGGTTTATCGTTTTTCATCAGAGTCCACAGTTGGTCGCATCCGAGTAGAATGGCAGGTTGGACCACGGGNATCTTTTTTCAATGGTTTTGTTGAAGGTTTCCCATACGTGCTGATCTGTCAGTGCTTTTTCCATTTTTGCGGAGTTTGTGAATTCTTCTGTTCCGGCAGATTCGAGGGTCCAAAATTGTTCCCATTTGACTGCTTCGTTCTCATCCGTCTCTGAATCTTCAGTAAGGCAAGCATGGACTTGACATTCTAGTGACCGATGCTGATTGCACTTATTCATTTCCTCTTCATTGACTTGCACATAAAGTGCCCAGTATTGATCCCATTTGTCTAGTTCATCCTTGAAATCCTGTATGGGCAATGTGTTTCCTTCTTCGCTGTGTTGTACTTGTAATAACACGTTATCATTTTCTTTTTGTGGCGCAGGAGGATTTTTTAGTTGTCCTGTACATAAATGACCTAGACGCGTTGGGATAAGATGTAACCCGGATGGTAGTTCAATGTGCGGTTTATCGTTTTTCATCAGAGTCCACAGTTGGTCGCATCCGAGTAGAATAGCAGGTTGGACCACGGGCCTTGCTTTACTTATCTCAATTTGGAGGTTGTGTTTTACTATGAAGTCTATGTCTTCTGGACAAATTGGCGGTGGTTTAAAAGGCTTCGTTATCGCGTTATGTGTGAACAAGAATAACGATATTTGATGGCCGTCTGCGTCCTATACCTGTAATGGGACCTTTCGTGAAACGCGTTCTTGTACATTGCATGAGCCGAATGTGTTCAACCGCAGGTTAATTTCTTCTATCGTCGGTAGACCTAGCTTTTGTGCAAGATTTTCGTCGATAAAGGATAACTCAGCTCCCGTGTCCAGTAAGACGGAAACGTTCTCTAATTGTTTTGTGGTTGGGTTCATTATAGTCAATTCCCCTGTGGGTAGGAAAGTTAACTGCAGTTTTGTGCTAGATTTCGTGAAACTTTTGTCTTTGGCCGGTGTCTCTTGTCCGACGTGGTTTATTTTGGACGTAGAAGTCGGTTTTTTAAGCTCTTTCTCTTTGTGTTTACTGGCGTTGGCCTCGTTTTTGGCGTTCGCATTCTTCGTAGGTGGCGCGAACGCTTTCTCGTTTGGTGTCGGAAAGAGACAACATGATGTGTGGTGACGTTTCTGGCATTTACGACATGACGACCCGTTGCACTGAATTGTGCTGTGGGATGGAGAAGCGCAAATATTGCATAGCTATTATTTTGAAGGTACTGGTATCTTCTTTGAGGTGTTTCGTATTTCCTGCAATGGAAAGGCTTATGGTCGCCTTTACAATACATGCACAGAAGCCTTGTTGTCGGCGGCTTCTAGTGTTTGCTTTGTTGTCGAAGCTAACTGTATCTCGAGGAGGTGTTGCGCTGGTCTGGCGACATACCTGTTCCTCGCTGGTTATAACCACTTCAAAATATTTTAGAAGCTGCTGCATGGTGAAGGGTTCGTCGGGAGAAGTGATCTTTTTGTGAATAACTTTACGTTGGATCCCGACTGGAAATTTGGAAAGAACCTTTTAATACATGGACTGATTGTCGACATTTTCACCTTTTTGCACTAATTGGCCTATGATGGCTTCTATGTCTTCCAATAGTCTGCGTTGCTCGTGTATGGACGACGAGTGAAGGGAGATTTTGTCCATCTTTCTGAGGAGCTGGCGAATGAGTTCTTCAGGATTACCGTACTTATTAGTGAGAAATTCTATGGCTTTTAAGTAGTTTTGCCTGGTGAGTTGGAACTTCTTCATCGATTGTAGAGGTTCCCCTTTTAAGGAGTTAAGTAGGTAATTGAATTTTTGTAGCTCTGAAAGATTTTGTGAATGTACGTTTAAGTTGAAAAGCTCCCAAAAGTTATCCTAGTCCCAGATGTCGCCATTGAATGTTGGGACTGGGATTGTGGGTAGCTCCAGATTTTTCACGACCGCGGTGACGGTGGATTCATCTTTACTACTATTTGTAGTGGAGTGTTTGTAGGATGTGTTGAGAAGCTCAGCATGAGCCTTGAAGCCATGGATCCGAGCATGAAGGAGTACAAGGTATTCGAAAGTATTGCCAATGGCTTCTTCAGCAGTAGTTGAGTACAGTGCGAACTCTTCTTCAATATTCGGTGGCGTTGGGTGTGACTTTTCGAACATGGTAGCGAGTTCACCTAGTGCGTGTTGAATCTTTATGGTGATGTTTTCTAACGCTGCCACTGCTTCCTCTAACTGCTGTAGGCTTGTTTGATTAACGGTGGGCGTTATCTCATCTTGCAGGTTTTGAACACTGATTTCTTCTAACTGCGCGTCTTTGAATCGGGTTAGAACTTTTTGCAATTGGTTAGTATACCGCGTGAGTATCCGTTTGTGACTTGCCAGTGATAGGTTGGACATGACTGAAAAAGTGACGTACTTGGTTGTAACTCCCTTGACCTGATGGATCCTTTCAAGCGGCCAATGCACCAACATTATGGTGGGACGACTGGATTATATAGGAATACCAAGTAGTTAAGATGATTCGGTCGGAATTTGCTACTCGCCTTTGTGTATGCCACGCGGGACTTCTTGTAAGTATTAGTCACAATACCGGAAACCTCAAACTTGGGTAATTAAACCGTTTATCATAATTATACAACAATTATGGCATAACAATGCAACTGTACAATTAATACAACAATGATACAAGCAATGAATAGGCGCAGCCTGATTTCTTGTGTTCAGGTTGCTCAAGAGTGAAGAGGTTGTCATAAGACTTCGACCACATGAGATCGATGTGAGGAAAGGATATGGTGATTTGGGCAGCATTGCTGTGACCTGAGCTAGTCAGCCGTGGAGCCGTTTATATACCGTTTGGGTTGGGCGTAGTCAGGCTACAATAGGCGGAGTCGCGTTACAGTAGGTGGAGTGGGGTTACAGTAGGTGGAGTCAGGCTACAGTATGCGGAAGGACGGCTGCCGGAAACATTTCACAAGCGTTGAAATCTGATAAGGCGATAGTCAAAGCATAGGACTGTAACTGCAGATGTTTTTCATGAGATAACCGCCAACGAAATGTTAGCCATGTGGTTATCGGTTCGTCATAAGGTCACCGGAAGCCGTATTCGAAAATGTTTGACATAAGGTTATCAG